CTTCTTAGTAAAGCATCACAAGAATGGAAAACCAAATATCTAATGTAATCAATACTAATATGAAGCCATCAGACTTTCTAATTTACACCTACAGAGGTGAAAAACTCATTTCAAGTTGGGAGGAGGAGGAAAGAAGGAAAAAAGGGAGGAGAGGAGTTTGGGGTGCTCCCACTTAATGGCACAATGCAGTGGTATACAGCACACCTTTTGGGTGTTGGACACAAGTAAGAGGGACTCTAACTAACAAATTCAGATGTTGTGACCTGGTTGTTTGTACCCTCATATTATCCTGAAAAAATTTTTAGAAGTCTGTATTTATATGTGTATATATTATTATATATGTGGGTACCTGTTAAAAATTTAACTTCTTACTAATGATCTTTAGAATAACAGTTTAAAAATTGCATTGTGGCTTCTTAAATTTACTACCATTAATGCTAACACTATCAGAATAGTTTGTGTAGTACTTAAGAGATACAAGAAAAGGGATAGAAAATTTATACTTATATTAAGCACAAGTTAAGCACCATACTATGGTTCAGATTGTTTATCCATTTATTTCTTTTAATGAACACATGAGGTACTATTTTCATTACTTAAAATCAGAAAAATTGAAATTGACAAACTTACCACCCTCTCCCCCCAACAAGTTGTACCCCTAAAAGAGATAAACCTACCATTCAAACCAAGCTTTATATCTTGGGTTATAAATCATAAGCCTTTTCACTACTCCCTCTTCCCCCACTCCTTTTATTTGATGAGTGCCACTCAGAAGAAATAACAACGAGGAGGACATTTTACATTCCAATTAGAAGGTTCGAAATAAGAAAGCAAAGACATTTATTAATCACCAATTTAAAGAAGTTTCTCCTACTTGAAAAATCCTCAACTAAGTAAATAAAATCACTTTTAGTTTGAGACTTGTAAGGAGATTCAACATAAAGCTTGTCTAAATGATTTTTTCAATAAAACCAAAATGAGATTCTACATAAAATTTTATTAGCCATATCTATTATAAAAATATGGCTATTTGCAAATACCTTAATACAAATTGGGAGAAGGCAAGAGAAATAAGATATCTGGTAAGTTAAAGTAATCAATTCCTTTTTACCATATTTCTGATTACATGAAAATAAAATACACCATACAAATTTGTGTATCAAAAAAGTAGACCCTAGTAAGATACCATTTCACATCCACGAGGATGGCTAACTTCAAAAACCAGGTAATAATTGCTGAAAAGGATGTCGAAAAACTGAAACCTACATACACTGCTAGTGAGAAAGTGTAAGGGTGCAGTGGGTGGACATCAGTTTGACAGTTCTTCCAAAAATTAAAGAGTTATCATATGACCAAACAATTTAATACATGTTTAAAACATATGTCCACAAAAGACTCACACATATTTGTTTATAGAAGCACTGTATATAATAGCCAAAAAGTAGAACCCACTCAAATGTCTGATGAATTGGTCAATAAAATGTGACATACATCCATATAATGAAATATTACTTGGTATTAAAAAGGAACAAAGTACTGTATGATAAAACCTTGAATATATCTTAGAAACATTACGGCAAGTAAAAGGGTCTAGTCACAAAGGCTACATATTATTTGATTCCATTTATATGAAATGTCCAGGACAGATAAATCCACAGAGAAACAAAGTAGGTTAGTGGTTGCTTTAGGGACAGGGAGGATGAGTTTGCCAAGGAGAAAAATCACCTTATCAGTGGTTCTCAACCTTCCTCATGCGGCGACCCTTTAATACAGTTCCTCATGTTGTGGTGACCTCCAACCGTAAAATTATTTTCGTTGCAACTTCATAATTGTAATTTTGCTACTGTTATGAATCATAATGTAAATATCTGATATGTAGGATGTATTTTCATTGGTCATGACCCACAGGTTGAGAAACACTGCCTTAGATGATATAATACCCTATAAACAAAGTAAAGAGGGGAAGCCCTCCTGACCCACAAATGACACTGAGGCACACAGGATTCCAGTCTATCCGCCACCACCATCCCAAAATAGGGAGAAAAGTAGGGAGCTATTAGTAATACAATACCCACTGGATGGCTTTAATATCAAAACTC